GGAGAATTTCCTTTTTTTTTTTCTCTTCTAGAAGCAAACAACAAGAAAGAAAATGGCCAAAGTTTCTTCCCCCTAGTCCACAGGGATGAACGTTTCCTGGGATCCTGCTTTTCCCATTTGTTTGCCCGCCCAAAGTTCCTTTTACACAGGGGAGAATCCAGGAAAAGGCACGCATCGTTTGATGTGCTAGTGGTATTACCAAAGATAGCTAGGCAGGCTGTGGTCTCAGTTTGGTCTCTTTTCGTGCCTGGGGTCGGATTGCTGCAGCCCCGCTAAGGACGGACTTTCCAGCCTTCCCAAGATTCCTACCCTTACAGTGAAAACTACTTTAGGCTCAGACCTGCCTGTCAAATCATTTCATTCCCCATCCCCAAAGTAAGTGCAGAGCGGCTAGCTGGAGAGAGTTTCAGTCCAAGCCTGCGGGTCTTAGCTTCCAGGCTGCCCACAAGAGGGTGCCCACGTTCTTGGAGGCCCAGGACCCATTCCCCGCCCCCCGCCCAGCAGTTGGTCCCTCACTACCTTGGTTCCTCCGCAGCCCGCATCTTCCACTGACTCTCAGTACAGCCCGCATTCTGCCTTTGTCCGCTCCTTTCCGTTTCTACCCAAAGGCCCAGGGAGCTTTACCCACAGGCTAACACCCCCACCCCATATCTTCCACAGTGGGTGGCCACCTTCTGCTCTTCTGAAAAGGGTAAAGAAACCCCAAACATTCCTGCATCAGTGAGGAGTGTGACCTCTGATGGGAAAAGCATCTTTCTCAGGGAAAACCTCAAATATCAGAGACAATGGCCTTGAAGGAAACCATAGGAAGATTTCCAGGGTTAGTCTAAGAGTTCATCATTTGTGCCCTCAGGGGTCAAGTGTTCAATGCCACTGGTGCCTCATTCCTGATGTCGAAGGACTGGGCAAGGCAGACACCATCATCTGTGCCTGGACCCTGGTAGGTGCTGACTTGTTTGAGTTCCTGGGGTACCCAGTGGTGGCCTGGCAGTGACAGCTGGGATTCCACGGAGTCATTATTAAAGGCTTGACCCTTCTTCCCTTCTTGGTCAACAACAAATTAGGTATTTTGAATCAGAATATTTAACTGTTGTAATCACTCTGGTAGATCTCTGTTCTATAGACGAGAAAGCTGAAGTCTGGAATCAAACATCTGCCAAGGTTATAGTTATTAAAGCAGGCTAGCCGGCTTCCACACCAGTTCTTCCCAGCATACGGACTCCTACCTGTATCTCACCCTGCAAGAGCCACCTCTCTGGGGTAACATGGGCTGGGAACAAGGAGTCACAGCTTCATCTCAAGTCAGAACCTGGGTCACAATTCACAGTTCCTGCTGAATGGTCTGCCTCAATTCACACCCAGGGCTGCAGAGTGACTCACAGAGCCAGGGGGCAGCCAGTCCCACCTGCTCTCCAGTCTCCTCTGAGGGTTTCTGAGGCTACTGACCCGCCCCTGGCCACTCCAGATCTTCAAGTACTCAATTGTCTGAGTTTGGTTCCTGGGACCCAGGCACTCCTTTGGGACTGTCCGGAATCCTCTCTGTCCAGAAAGCACACGGCCACTGACCCTCTTGGTTTGAAGAATCATCGGGGCAGACGGCAGGGCAAAAATACTGCTCCTGTCAGCTCATTGCCCCTGGTCCCTATTCTGTCCTATGACGGAGATCTGGCTCCTGGTTTCAACCCTTCCTACAGGTTCCATGGGCAGCTCTAGAGGGGTTGCCATCCAGTGATTACACAGTCAACAGGACACAGTTAATAACTGCTATTTAAATAAAGTGGGTGACCCTTTGGGAATCTTAAGTTTGATCAAATCACTTGCTGGCCTTGGGGCCCTCTTTTGGGGGCAAAGATTTTTAGCCAGCAGTAGGAAAGCTCTAAGCCTTCACCAAAGAACTTTCCAGCGAAGCCTGGATTTGCCCCCGGTTTCTACTCAACACCAGGGGGCTCTGCAAGGCTGATTGTTCAGGCTTGGCTTGTAGAAGATGATGAAAGGTTAACTGCCCCTAACTTCAGGTGAACGACTCTGGGCATCTTGCCCATCAAGTGGGGGTATAGAGCTGAGAACTCTCTATGGATGCCCAAGAAAAAATAGCCCTCCAAGCCCTAGCGAGGAGTGTGGAACTATACTGATGACTATTTAGGTTCCCATCGCATGCACAATTCCTCAGTATATCTTTTGCATTGGTGAAAATGTTTCCCTAGTCCCATTAGAGAGTTGTATCTCTCTCCTCCAACCCACTTTAGGCTTTTAGGAAAAGCAAAGGTAACTGTAAGAATCTGGAAGTAAAAGTGACAAAACACTGTATTCTGACGGGGTTTGGAGTTGTTTATATGCTCCCTGTCAACACACACACACACACACACACACACACACACACACACATCGTTCGCCATGTTTAACAACTCATTACCCAAAACCTTCAAAATTTGGCAGGATATTTGCATCAAACTCTATTTATGTCACATTTATAGAGCACACTACAAACATATATGCACATACCTACATGGGCTGCTAGCTATTCAAGTCAGACTGTGTATGGGAAGGCATAATCGTGCTGTGTCAGGAACTCTTTTAAATACCTTTGCTTTCATTTAGGAAGTTATCTGAATCAGATTCTCTAACAAATTCAAAAGTCCAAAGAGGGAGAGGAGAGAAAGGAAATCTGAGCCAAACAAGATCTATCATTGTCCCCAACTAGGGAAACTGACCAAACTTTAGCGCTTTGGAGAAACCCTTAGGGCTGGAATTAGAGACAGATGTCTTTCAGGAGGCATTCAGCCGAAGGCGCTCCCTTCTCTTACCTCCTCCAACCATGGTGTAGACTCTCCTCCAGGAAGCCCCAGTAATTCCTTCATCTAATTTTCTTTACTTGGCAAAGCCTCCCCGCTGTAGATGCCTCTTGCTGGTTAGTTCTTGGGTGCAGAGAGATGTTCCCCAGCTCTGCTCAACTTCTCCGTTTCATTGGAGGTGGGCAGTGACCTGTCCACCAAGAGCACTGCCTCGGAAGCTGTCCCCGTTTTCTGCTCTGGATAGCAGTTTGAAGGGGTGCTGACAACTAGTCCCAGATCAGGGAGCCTCTGCCAGATGAAGTGAAGGGTGTACATACTTTGTTATCGTTCAGCAAGCCAGAAATACACACCCAGAGCACAACTGCTTACATAAGCATGAGGTGTGCATGCAGCACACACTACGGTCTAGTAAGCACTCTCTAATGTTGGTCATTCGGTTATTACAGTGTCCTAAGTATGCCATTCTCCCTCTTTGCAGGTGAATGATATATAAACACACACCTCCTACCCTATCACTGTTAAATAACAGACACTATAAACACATTTACATCAGGCACAGACTACACAACTATCCGTAGGACACACACTCGATACAGAAATTGTGGAGAAGCACACAGCATGCTGTCTTAGTCTGGGACACCCCCCCCCCCATCAGACAGCTACAGAGCAGCCTCAGGCCCCATCGAACTTTGCAGCTTCCCTCTGCAACAATGGAGTTTCTCCTTTCAGTCTGCCCCCAATGGTTGGACAGGCTTTAGTCTCTACCTTTGAGAATCCACAGAACCTTCTCTACCACCCTGGATCCTTCTTCTGAGACATTTGGGGGAGGAGAGGGCATTTGGAGTGGGAATGACTTCCCCTTGATCCCAGAAACATACCATCCAGATACTACCCTGACATTCCCAAGGTTAGATCTTCAGTTAGGGGACGTGGGTTCCTGTAAACTCATCCCCCAAGCTCACTGCTGCTCCCAGCTTATTTCTCCGGACCGGTCTCTTATGAAAGGAGGGAGAAACGGAGGTGTAAGATGCTTGGCTGAGCATGGGATCTAGTCCTTGCTGTATCAGCTCCCAGCCTCTGTAAGAGATCCAATAACTGCCACCCCATCTGAAAACTGAAAGCCAGCTACCTCTAATCAGCCAGAGAGATTTAGACTGCCACCAGGTCAAACACCTTTTGTATCTTAATGAAAACATGGATCTTAATTCGTTATTTCATGAGCTCAGTAAAGAAAAAAAAAACAAACAAAAGTTCATCTCTGTAGTATACAGTGCACTCAACTTCCGGAAAAGTACCAAACTTTCTACTCTTATTTCATGACAAATGAATGTCGATTGTTAAAAACAACAGTACAGCAAATCAGTTAGTATATTGTAGAAAAGTTTGAAGCTTGCAACGTGTTTCTGAAGTCGGGATTTTATATGAAAAAACTCCTACAAAATGTTATATATTTGACTAAAAAAACCTTAGTAATATGAGGATAGTAATAAGAACACCATGTATACACCTAGTACAATTATATAAGAGGCAAAATATAAACTTACACGGGCACAAAAAAATAGAACAAGCCATGCCTACAGTAGCCTCTAGTGAAGGGCCGGTAATTTCGCCGGTGTTAAACAGCCGCAACACAGAAAACCAATCTCCAGAAAACAAAGCAGTAGCACAGTAGTGATAGTCCTAAGCGACTGCCATGCTGGTTGCTCTCAACCCTTGTTTGTGTCATTTTTTGAAAGGCCACAGTTTGGCTGAAGAGCTTGCTCTTTGAGCTAGCTAGCTGCTGAACTACGGCGGAAAAGAAACAGTGCAAGTCCGTGTTAAAAGAAAAAACAAAAAATTTATTTGGGAATTGACAAGGGACGCGCGCACACACATACAAATACAGCAAAAGTGCTCTAGTTCCCTCTAGAAAATTTGGTCCCCGAAAGACATTACTCAACCACCAGGTCTCGAAATTTCGGGCTAGCTGGCTGGGGTCACAAGCCCGTGTGGGCCGGCCTTGGCCGGTTTCACATTTCTCCTTCCAAAGGTGGAAGAAGCAAGGAGTTTGAAAAACAAAAACTAGGGAGGGAAGTGTCATCCCCGAAGTGTGGCCCAGCCAGGCAGCAAGAGATCTTCTGGCATCACGGGCTAGAATCGGAAGATCCGGGAAAATTTGTTTTGAATTTATTTTTAAAAATAGAGAGAAAACTCCCGATTTGTAGTGGAACCCTTCTTTTTGCTAGTTATTTTCTCCTGGCTCTCAGCGCAGCCTTCTGAAGTGACTACAGGAATTCTACACAAATCTCCCAGCAGGGACGATGAAAAAACTAAAGCTTTTGATTTTGTTGTTTGGTTTCAGCAAAGGCCATAACACTTCACTGTTTTTTCCCGATGAAAGTTTTATTCTCTCTCTCTTTTTTCCCCTTAAAAAGTATTTTTTTTAAATATATTTTAAAAACCTCACCGATCTTTTTAGCAAGACGTTAGCCAGCCACCCTGGCAAGGAGGTACCCGAAGCAGTGCCCTGAAGAGCGGAGGCACGGCGGCCTCTCTAGGCGAGGGGATGTGAACCGGATCACAGGCCGCGGAACGAGGCAGTCCCTGCTCCAGCCTGGGGCTCAACCTCCGCCCCGCCCAGAGGGCCCCTCTGCAAGCGGCTTCTGATCAGTTCCAGGAGGGATCGCGGAGCGACGAGGCACGTTCTTTCCTTTCTCCGGCAGCGTGGGTCCTGCTACCCCAGCAGCCCAGCGCTTCTAGCCACAGACAGCGCGGCGGTTGTGGGGTGGAGAAAGTCGAGCGCAGGTCCACCGACCTGGAAAGAGAAGGCCAAGAGGTCAGCGCGGCCGCAGCTAGGCCAGAGACACACTCCCTGCGGTGACTCCGGGACTCCGGGAGGAGCGGAGGCCTGCGGAAAGCGCGGAGAGGACGGCCTCCGGCCAGGAGGGCACGAAGGCAGAGGCCCGGAGGGGAAGAACACCGGAGGAACAGCGGAGGCGACAAAGCGGAGTCGCAGGAGCGGGACGGAACGAGGACGCGCAGAAGGCTCGAGGGCTCTGGCTCAAAAGGCTGTCCCGGAGTGTGTGCTGTCCGGCTGGCTGCTGCGGCTGCGACCCGAGCTCGGCTTCTCCACTCCGGGGCCGATCCCGCACACGGTGACACTCAGAGATCCAGGCGCGAGTGCAGCGCTCCCGTCTTGCTGTCGTGGTCCCAGTAAGAGCAATGCATCATGGCGAGCTCGGGTTGCCGGGCGCAGGCGAACTGCAGGCCCGGCGCGCTGGTGGGCGCGGGGGCCGGGGGTGCAGCGGTGGCCGGACTGGCGGGGCTGAGCTGACCCGGGGGTGGCGCGGCAGCCCCGTGGTGTGGCGGAGCTGGCGGGGGTGCGGAGGCGGCGTGCAGATGGTGTGCGTGAGGGTGCGGGTGGGAGTGCGGTGGCGGCGGTGGGGGCGCGGCGGGAGGGCCTCCCAGACCGTTGTAGGAGTTCACGACGCCGGGCGGCAGCGCCATGCTCTGCACACGCGAGTACGGCCCGTAGGAAGCGGCGGGGCCAGCCAGCCCCTTGACCACAGCGGCTGCACCGGGGCTGCCCGGGCCGGCTGCTGCAGCGGCTGCCGCAGCTGCTGCAGCGGCCGCAGCCATCTGGCAGGAGGCATAGGGCATGGGCGAGGGCGGCTGCGGCAGGGGCCAGGAGTTGTTGAGGAAACCCGATTGCAGGTACTTGGGCGGCGCCAGGTAGCCATAGCCATCCGCCCCCGCTCCCGCTACGCCGCAGCCACCCGCCGCTCCTCCGGACCCGAAGAGCCCCTTTCCCGACTGGAAGTGCGCTGGTGGCGGCCGGAAGGGCCTCTTCATACGGCGGCGGCGCCGGTAGTTGCCCTTCTCGAACATGTCCTCGCAAGCCGGGTCGAGCGTCCAGTAGTTGCCCTTGCGCTCGCCGCCGCCCTCGCGCGGCACCTTGATGAAGCACTCGTTGAGGCTGAGGTTGTGGCGGATGCTATTCTGCCAACCCTTCTTGTTCTTCTCGTAGAACGGGAACTTGGCGATGATGTACTGGTAGATGCCCGACAGGGTGAGCCTCTTCTCGGCGCTCTCGCGGATCGCCATGGCGATGAGAGCCACGTACGAATACGGGGGCTTCTGCGCGGGGTCCGGCTTCTCGGGTGCTGTCCCGCCGCCTTTACCCGGACTCGGCGGCGGCGCCTCGGGCTCTTTGACTGTGCGCCCGTTCTCCGGGGCCAGCAGGGCCCCCGTGGCGTCCTCGGGCTCGGGGTAGCTGGCCATCATGACAAAAGCCGGAGCTCCTCGGCCGGGCCGTCCCGGGGCTGTGCTCTCCGGGCGCAGGCTCGCCTTGCAGGCGGGCGCAGGAGTGAGCGCTCGCGGCTGAGCTTCCAACTTCTGCAGGCTGCGGGAACCGGAGGCCTCGTGCTGCTATCGCTCTCTCCCTCCTCTTTCCCCCCCGGGGAGCGGTCGGCGGGAGTGGAAGTCAGCCTCTGGCCATCGGGAGTCTGCCCAACAGCGAGGGGCTCCGGCCCCGCCGCCCCTCCCCGCCCAGGCCAGTCCCCGCCTCGGTGGGTTTTCTTGGTGGAGCTTTCCCCTCCCCCACCACCCGGTTTCCCGAGGCGCGACCCGCGTCTCTGGCGCAGCTGCCTCCTGGAGTCCCTAGTGCGCCAGGAGCCTTGCTCCGTTCTGATTCGTATGGGCTCCGCAGAGTTCCGCTTGCGTCAGGGGCCTTCGCCCCTATAGTGGGGCAGCCAGCAGCGCACGGGCGAGCTCATCTCCAAGTCTCTCTCTCTCTCTTTTTTTTTTAAACGGCCGGCACAACTTGGACCGGCCTGTCCCGGGCCTTGGGAGTTTAGGAGACCCCGCCGGACTCACGCACTCATGAGTCCTTGAAATTTGCGCGTGTTTGCTTCACGGAAGGTCCGGACGAGGGCTCGCTGCACCCTGCCAGTGTCCCGGGAACATAGTCCCCAGAGAGGAGGAGTGATCCAAGCCTCCTGGCAGCGTTCAGGTGACAGAAAACAACTCCCTTGCTCTCTGCTTGGGGCTGTGCTGGGGCTAGACTTTTCGCTTGAGGCTTAGGGAGGGGCGAGATGGCGAGGGGCCGGACCGGGGTGGAGTGGTAGAACTTTGCGGCTGCTGGAGGTAAACCAGCCCAAAGCTCGTGTCACGAAAGGCAGAAGTTTTGGCCTGCTCTGTCCCTCGAGCTCTCTGGGTCGGACTGGGGATGGGGAGAGGATCGCTGGGAAGAGGTACCCAGGAGTACCGCTTGCATCGATTCTTTGCTTTTCTCCCTGTGCTGCGGGTGGATGTAGGCACCAGGTTTCTCCTCGGAATTCTCCTTGCAATCCCACGAGTTGGATGTGTGTTTTAAAGACCAACTAGCGTTCCCTGTACTCCGGCTTGGACACCGACTATGAGGATGTTGCTGAGGGACTGACTTTGAGGACTGTTGTGTGCACAGGTGTCACACGGGGGGGGGGCGGTCTGTGATGTAAGAAATACTGCAAACGAGCTGTTCGGAAACACAGGTATGCTTATGTGCAAGGTTTGAGAGTTGTATCTGCTCGTTAGTGAGGTGTGGGAATCAAGTACCAGATTAAACATGGCTCGTGGATGTAACATCTTCTTTCCTTTCTTCCCCACCCCCACAATCTTTACCTGCCTCCTCCCCTCCCAGCTTCGGTAATTCTGTTTCTACTGACTCAAAAGAAAAGCAACAGGCTGGGGAGGCACTTGCTTACATCTCAGTCATGGTGGGCAGTAGTTTTGATGTTCTTTGTCTAAAGGTTTTGTCAAGATAACAGAAGTCTGGTGGGTAACCAGTTACACCTGCAAGAATAGAAAAGAACTCAGATGAAATCTGTGCCGGCCCAAAATCAGGTGTGCTGTTTAACTCAGCATTAACACACGTCCACAGTCTTGAAATTTAAGAGAGGCTGGTGTTTGAAATCTTCAAACTCCTGGGTGCTCCACGCAGAGTGCCCAGACACTTTGTGAAGGGTCGTGGTCTGAATGAACGCCCTGAAGGTGTATCGGTGATTGGCATGTCTAGGTGGCTAGCTCAGTGTCTGTTTTTACTTCTTTCTCTCAGGCTGCTTGGTCTTCAAGAATTCTCCAGAATCCTGAGAGCCTGCAGTGGCCAGTGGCTCCAGAATCCGCAGATGCCTGTCTACATTGTACGCTCTCTACTTTGAAATGAAGGGAAAGGAGGACAGGGTGTGTGTCTCTCTGTGTGTGGTTGGGTAGGTGCACGCCTCTGGAATCCAGCATCTTGAAGATGTCTCCAGATAGGTCAACAGGGCAAACCTGGCCTAACCGCTGGGGTGAGCGGGAGCTGGAGTCCTCTTGATTTCCCTGGGAGATACCTACTTCCAGCCCTTACTGAAAATATCCCCAAATGGCTTGGATGTTTTTCTAGGCTATCTCTCGCAGTCCAGTCCGGAGTACACAAGGGGCAAACAGCACTTCTTCAAAATCCGACTGCTATCTGAGCAGGCCTGCAGGTGTTTGTCTTCTTCCTCAACATCAGGCGCGTCCAGCTAGGGTAGGCGTGATGAGTCTGGTTGGTTTGGGCAGGGGCAAAACATCTGGCTCTGGTCCCGTTCTGGAGGTGGTAACTTCACCCCCCCCCCCATTTCTTTTTCTTCTTTCTTTTCTTTTTTCTCTTTTTGACCACCCAAGCTGACCCTGGGTCCTTCTCTCCCCACCCCCTCAAACGGCTCCATTTCCGCTGCTCAGCTCCTCAGCAGCCAGGTGTGACAGCATTGTTGTGTGTGTCATCACTTCCCCAAATTCCTCTGTCGGCTCCCTTTTCAGACTTTAGGGAGCGTGTGTGTGTGTGTGTGTGTGTGTGTGTGTGTGTGTGTTGCGAGTGTAGGACAGAGTCTCTATGGGCCTTTTTCTTTCTTTTTCTCTTTCTTTCTTTCTTTCTTTCTTTTTTTTTTTTTTGAGTGGAAATAGGAGCCATGCATTCCTGGGAATTGATTTCTTGCTGTCCTTTGCAGGATCAGCACCCTAATCCCAGGTGGAGAAAGGGTGCCTCGTGTGTGTACAAGGCTGGGAAACAGAACTGCAGGCGCCGTGGGGATCACCTCCCAGGCCGTGTCTGGCGGGCGGTAAGGAGCCAGAGCTAAGGACCGGAGACTGGGGAGAAGGTGCTTGTCTGCACTGCGGTTCAGCGGTTCAGCGAGAGGGGGGTGCAGCAGGCGCACCAGGAAGCGGTGGGGTGAGCTTTGAGTTACTTAGACAGGCTGGGTAGGGAGGGCCCTACGTTCTGGCAAGAGAGGGATTCTGCTCCTCTGGGCCCGCTCGCAGAGGTTGTGTGGGCCACCGCGTTTCGCCCCGTTCATTCTGACAAAGCTGGGCGTCTGCTTAGTGACCTCGGGCCTGCACCCACCTCCAGCGGTTACGGTCCTGAGCCAGATGGAGCTCCGTGTTTCTCTGGCTGGGGTTTCCAGGAGCCATCAGCGTCTCCAGCTCCTTGTGCTGCTAGAGAAATTCCTGCAAATGCCGAGCTAGGAAGTGGCCGACGCAACAGCCTCTCAGCTAGTCGGGCCCGGAGCTCCGACGTCTAGACGGTCAGACTTGAGCAAGTCACTGGTCCCTGATGAAGACTTTCTCTCCCGGGCTGGGGCTTCCGGCAGCTGTCGCAGAAGGCACTGCCGCCCGCTGTGCGGGAACAAGCTGCGCTTCCCCAGAATGGTTCAGGTTGAACACACAGCCACCGGGCCGGCTGCTTGTCTCTCAGGTTCCCTTTCTTATGGGTCGTTTAACAGTTCCAGTTTCCGGTTCCCTCGCCAGGAGAGAAGAATCCAGGAGGCTGAAGCCTTCTTCTGCGCAAGCCGACTCTTGAAAAGGGGGCTTCGGTGGGGCTTAGCCCTCCTTACCCAACTCCACAGGCAATAACTACCGACTTTCAGCTTCACATTCAGACCTCAGGCATCCACATCACTCTGACACACTTAACGTTGATCTCTGTCCATCTCTCTTCATCAACTCCAAATCCTCTCCACCGCGCCACTCTGAGCTCACCTGTTGCACATACGAGGTCAGATCCTACCCATTTTAGTTAAAAGCATGTTAAATTGACTTTTAGACTCTAACCAAGCCTCTTTACACACCACCAAGCCCTCCCATCTCATGGCTTCCCAGCCCTTTGCTCCACGTGATGGGGATTCCATTTTTGTGAAAACCCGCCAGACTGTGGGTTTGGAGACCTAATGGTGTTCTCAGGACATTTGCAGAGTAGGCCAGTGCCCCTTTGTTTCTGGATACCACAAAGAAGATTCCAGATTCCCTCTCAAGGCCCTGCCTGGGCATCTCTCCACAGTGTTTGTCCAGGGATGGTCACGTGCTGTAGAACCAGGCGATGGCTTGAAGATGCTGCACCTTAACCTGGAAAAGTGGGAGGTGGGGAGAATTTGCAGGCAGCGAGAGAACAGAAAACGGATTTCTGGAGAGGGTCTTGGGGTGTGTGCATGTGCTTGCTCAGGACCCCTTGTTACCAGGTCTCCGCAGAGGTCATATGTGGGCTTTACACTCTGGGTAGCCCACCCTTTCTTAGGTCCCTTTGCAGAGTAATTGAGGCCTTGCTGGGCTCTGGGTTTGTGATTGGGCGTAATTACTGGCAGACTGCTGTGGTGGTACAAGCAGGCTTTTGTTGGGGAGGTAATAGTCTGAATTTGGGGTCTCTGGGAGTGGATAATTGAGGATCCTGGTGTGCCCTGTCCTGGGTACTTTTTGACTTTGGCATTTTACTTGGTGGAGTGGAGGATCAGTAACACGTCTGAGACAGGAAGTCCCTGTTGTACGGAAGATGGAAACTCAAGTCTAGAAACACGCAGGGTCCGGTTAGCCCACAGAGGTACCTGGCGCCGACAGAATGAGGGTCCTTATGTTTGGCTCTTGTCTTTTTGCTTTAAGACAGGGTCTCATTGTGTAGTCCTGGCAGGCCTGGAGCTCTCTTTGTTGTCCGGGTTGGTCTTTGACTGAGATCTACCTGCCTCTGCCTGTTGAGTGCTGGGACTAAAGGTATACGCCACCACGCTGGGCATGCTGGCTCTGTTACCTGTGCATACCATTGACAGGCTGGAAGACACCACAGTGGAGCAGATGACAAGGGCCCCTTTAATCATCAGCAATATCAGCCTGGGAAGTTAAGGGATCTTGTCTTGCTTTAGAGTTTTGCATTTTTTTAATCAGTTTTTGAGTAGCAGTATGTTCACCCACACCAAAATAAACTAAGACAGCTTGCAGAACAAAGTCTCTGTTACCAAGCTGCCCATCTCACAGGTGGTCAGAACCTATGACCCTGTGACCGCTTTATACGTATTTTATGCGTATAGAAGCATAAACCATTTTCTCCCGCACATGGTAGCAACTAGTGCCCTGCATTCTTCACCTGAGAAATCTTTGTG